GGACGCTTAACCGACTGCGCCACCCAGGCGCCCCAACTGCTTTTAGATAGAGTTACAAAAATAACAGAGTTCCATACATTTCCTCGCCCAGCCTTACATAACCAGAACATAGCATCGGAACCAAGAAATTAACATCGGCACAATGTTACCAGAATTCCTAGTGCCCTGATACAAGCAGTGTGACAGAGAAGGAATTGACACCCGCACAAAGCCTTCAGCTGAAGACCTTCCTCGAATTTCACCCAGTCTGCCAGTACCCTTTCATCGTTCCGGGGTCCCACGCAGGTCCCACGGCGGGCACTGAACCGCGGTCTCGCCTAGTCTCCCCGAGTCTATAATCGTTCCCCAGGCTTTCATTGTCTTGCACCTTGAGGACTCTGAAGAGGATGGATTGTCGTGTTGCCCCATGCCCCTCGGTTTGGTGTTTTTACAGGATTGGGCTGTGAAACCACAGGAGTCATGTGCCCCTATTAGTGTCCTGTATCGTGGGCTTTGTGATGTCAGAGACTTACTGCTGGGACGTTGGCCTCGGTCCCGTGGTTCGGATGGTTTCTGTCGGGTTTTCTGCTTTATACCTTGTCTCCTGTCCTGTCCTCGCCTTTGTGGTGAACAGATACTTCGGGGAGCTACTTTGAGACGATGTAAATCTGGCACTTGTCAAACTTCAGCTCACTGATTTAGGCATCCAGGGTGTACCTGGTCTGCAACATTTGCTTCCGTACAGTTTGTGGCTGATGGTTCTCCGTTTCCTTCTCTCCCGCGTTTGTTCGTTGCAATTCTACTGCGAGAAAGAGCTACCCGTCTCCTTGTCCGTATCCACTCGATGATCGGCACTTGTGCGGCTTGTGGCTATTTCTTGGTAGCCTCTTGTGTTCTTCCATCCCGATACCAAACGTGTATTGATTTAGCACTTCCTTTCTTCGTGACTCCACAAGACGTTTGTTCTAGACTCCTCTCCAGCCTTTTATTTTCCCCTCTTCCAGCCCTGGGTTCAGCCACTTCTGCCAGCAGTGCTGATGCCTTTCCTTGGGGAGGTGTTTAGAAACCAAGATCTGGGCATCGTGTGTGCTCATTACTGCTGGGGTCTCATTCCTTCCAGACCCTTTCCGTGCACAGAGCTCGGAAATAAGTGTGTGTTTGCACATGTCGGCCATTCTGGACCTTTCTGTCCGCCTCTGAGAGAGCATGACTTCACACTGATGGCTCGGATTGCAGCCCAACAGCGCAGAGGTCAGCCTCCTTCTTTCCTTAATTGTACCTTCCGTCTCCAAGACTGAGGCATCTGGCCCTTCCTGTCTGTAACATATTTACTTACTGGGTCAGTTCTAGGACTCGCACAAAGTCGTTTCAGCATTGCTAAGGTTAGCACCCACGAGAAACACACCTACTGACGAGGTTATGCCTGCTGCAGTCAGGCTGCTGTCATCCAAAGTTTCTTAGGTGAGAGGTGTGTCTTCCCACCCCTTTGGGGGTGGGGGTTATGGCGTTCATTTGTAATGGGGTAGGTTTGTTTGTTGGTGTTTGTGTTCCATCTGGGATTTCTCCCACATCCTGACTTTTTTTAGAGTTCATTTATTTTTTTTTTTAATTTTTTTTAATGTTTATTTATTTTTGAGAGAGAGAGACAGAGGGTGAGCAAGGGAGGGGCAGAGAGAGAGGGAGACACAGAATCCAAAGCAGGCTCCAGGCTCCGAGCTGTCAGCACAGAGCCCGACGCGGGGCTCGAACTCATGAGCTGTGAGATGGTGACCTGAGCCGAAATCAGCTGCCCAACCGACTGAGCCACCCAGACGCCCCAAGAGTTCATTTATTTAAGAGAGAGAGAGAGAGAGAGCAGGGGAGGGGTGGGGCGGGAGAGAGAGAAAATCCCAAGCAGGCTTCCCACCATCAGCACAGAGCCCGACTCGGAGCTGTGAGATCGTGATCTGAGCCAAAAGCAAGAGTCAGATGCTTAACCAACTAAACCACCCAGACACCCCCCGCTCCTGATTTTTAAAATTCATTTTTTTACCCAGTGATTTGGAATGCCACGTTCGACGTATACAAAGTGTGTCCGTGCATTTGGGTGTATACGAAGTGTGTCCGTGCATTTGGGTGTATTCTGGACGGGCTGTTCTAGTCCCCTGGACCGTCTGCGTGTTCATGCACCTGCACCACACAGTTTGAATTGCGGAGGTTCTGTAACATGTGTTCACGCTGGGTGGTCCTCCTCCTGGTTTTCCTTCCTCAGCGTGCTCCTGCCGATGCCTGTGTGTTGCTTCTCCGTGCGGGCGTGAAGTCTTGCCCTGTAGACTCTGCAACGGACAGGGTATGAGCGATTCCGCGTGCTCGCTGGGCTTCCGGAACCCGAGCCTCAGGCAGCGTGGGAGGGAAAAGGAATCCCCGGGTCCTTATTTGAACACAAATACCGTACTTCCTTTGCGAGACCGCCGCTTGACATTGAATCTCCCAGTGGAACCTTCTCAGGGTTTCAGTCCCAAAGGTGCCAGAAGTGGGAGAGGACAACCTGAATCCACTGATCTGGGGGCAGCAGGTGATGATGTTGAATCTCTATCAATCAGCTCCCTGAGCCAGCGGTTCTGTGCGCTCAGCGAGCTCGCGGCGGGCACCTGCCGCTGGCCAGCAGGGCACACAGACACGGGACACAACCTCCGGCCGTGGGGAGTGTCTGCAGAGGGGCCCGGGCCGTGACTGCATCTCTCTTGAGAAGTAGACTGGATTCTCCCCTGATGACTTTTAGGGGGGAGGTAGATGTCACTAAAAGCAGGGCGAGGTTAGAAGCATGTTAACGAGAACGTTCTGTGTCTTTCAGTGTCACTCTTGGTCCTCGGGAATTGTTAAGAAACAGCCCCGGGAGAACTCCATCACTTGCTTGATGGCACTGTGCTTGCCAGGAGAGCTTTGGTGCATTTTGGCTCAGGTCATGATCTCATGGTTCGTGGGTTTGAGCCCCACACTCTGACAGCATGGAACCTGCTTGGGTTTCTCTCTCTCTCTCTCTCTCTCTCTCTCTCTCTCTCTCTCTCTCTGTCTCTCATTCCCTCTGTCTGTCCCCCCACTCAAAATAAATAAATAAACTTAAAAACATAAGAAATCGAAAAGGCCAAGACTTGGTTGACTATCCCTGCCCTGATTTATTATTTTATAAAACATCAATGTTACCGCCTTGTGGACATATTGATTTAATTGCCTACGTCTCATTTGGAGATTAAAAAAAAATTTTTTTTTAAGTTTATTTATTTTGAGAGAGAGCGTGAGCTTGGGCTGGGAAGGGGGGGCGGGTAGAGAGACGGGCAGAGAAAGAATTCTAAGCAGGCTCCGTGTTATCAGCACAGAGCCGGATGTGGGGCTGGAACTCCCGAACTGTGAGATCATGACCGGAGCTGAAATCAGGAGTCGGACGCTTAGCCCACCGAGCTACCCAGGCACCCCTCATTTGGAGATTTTTAATTGCAAAAACCAAAATGGACCTAGGCTGATAAGCCGCCGAAGGGTTTACTCACGGGGTGCGGTAAGGTGCACAGAGCTGAGGGCAGAGTTGAACCAGGAGACCTTGGGGGGCAGGAGCCCGGCGGCTCCAAAGCTCTGGGCAGCAGGGGCTCAGGAACCCGCTCCTTGGGCACAGCAGCCAGGCTGGTTCATTCTGAGCCAAGGGATCTCAAGTTCCAGCGAGAGGCGGCCGGGCCCTGGGAGAGGGGAAGGGGCCGCACCTGAAGTCACAACACGGGCAACCGCGTGGACGGGGAGAGGCGGTCTTCTACGACCAGAGAGAAGGCTGGCCTTTGCCAGGAGAAGAAGACGGAGCCCTTGAACTTGCGGTGCTTGGCCAGATACGGTGCTGGACCTGCGGGGTCACCCCAAGCACGCTGCCCCGGGAGCCGGGCTTCTCTCCTGCCCGTGTAAACACGGGTGTTCAGGGTTCCCTTTGCCGTTGTTAGGGCCACCTCCCTGGGTTGTTTGCCATCCCGCTCTGGGAACCAAAGCCCGGCCCGGGCACACCGCGTCGTGAGCAGGTTCTCGGGGGCGTGTGCTCTCCGTGACCCCTGCTGCTGTTTAGAAGCACACATTTGAGTGACAGGAGTCAGATGACGTTCCCAGCTTTGCAGAGCTTTCTCGCCAGTGTGCCGGTTTTAAGGAGGGCCTCACCGTGCTTCTCCCTCTGTTCCAGGGCCCGCTGCTCCTGTCCTTCGAGGAGGACCCGCTGTGGCAGCCCCTGGGGCTAGAGGTGCACCGGGTCTCCAGCGTGGCCAGGTCAGCCCAGGAGAAGGTGAGCTGGGGCGTGGGCGCCTGCCGTGGACCCTTACCTGCCGAGGGAGCAAATGTAAAGCCTAGGTGGTGGGGGTCGGGGGGAGGTTATTGGGTCTTAGGATTATTGAAAATGTGGGCACCTTAAAAACCTAAAAAAAAAAAAAAATTCTGGTCTATCCTGTGATGAACGGATTCGTAAGCTATGGTCGATCAGCACAACGGGATGTGCTTTGGCCTTAAAAAAGGAGTCGGACGCATGCCGCATGCCTGGGTCTTGAACACACGGTGTCGAGTGAAGAAGCCGCTTCTCGTGTGATGGTGCTTATGTCGCGTGTCCCGGATGGATCCATCCAGGGAGACGGGACATGGACTCAGGGTCGCCGGGCACGGGGTGGGGGGCAACGGATTCTGCCTGCCCACGGGTGCAGCGTGTCTTTATGGGGTGACGGGCAAGTTAAACGACCTGTGAATTACATCTCAACAAAATGCATGTATTTATGCGTGTGCATATATACAGGTGGCATAGATTTGAGCCATTTCGATGCTACGGAGAGTTCGTCTTCCAGCCTGTGATCATTCACAGGTTAAAATTACTTATTAGACGGGTCGAATGCTGTGAATGGTGAAAACAGAAATTTTGTTTTTTATTTTTTATTTAAAAAAAAATTTTTTTAACGTTTATTTATTTTTGAGACAGAGAGAGACAGAACATGAACAGGGGAGGGTCAGAGAGAGAGGGAGACACAGAATCAAAGCAGGCTCCAGGCTCTGAGCTGTCAGCACAGAGCCCGACGCGGGGCTTGAACTCACGGACCGTGAGATCATGACCTGAGCCGAGGTCGGCCACTTAACCGACTGAGCCACCCAGGCGCCCCAGAAATTTTGTTTTTTAATGGCAAGTATCTGCAAAAAGTCCTCAGACGCCTTCTCTTACATGGAAGGGTTACCCCCCCGTGTCTGTCTACCTTTCCCTGCCAAGTTGCACACGCGCCATTTAGCAGACAGTGGGGGGCAGCTGCGTGAGCCCAGATGGCTGGTGAAGGAGAGCATCGCCGGACCCCGAGCCCTGCCCCTTGGATTCTGCTCCCCGTCCCCGCTGTAGAGTATTGTTTGCCGCTCGGGTTCCTTTTCTGTTGGTTTGTTGGTTGGTTTGTTTAGAGACAGAGAGAGCAAGCGGGGGAGGGGGAGAGAGAGAAAATCCCAAGCAGGCTGTCAGCGCAGAGCCCGACGCGGGGCTCGAACCCACAAACTGTGAGACCGTGACCTGAGCCGAAGTCGGACGCTCAACCGCCTGAGCCCCCCCGCCAGGCGCGCCTGGTTGCTTCTCTTTACAGCTCAGGCTTCTGGCTGGACCACAGCCTCCGTGTTCTTCTTCTGTCGGTGGATAAGCGAGTTGTGTTCTGTCTTCCACAAGCACAGCAAACCCGCGTGGCGCTTGGCAGGGTTACTGTCCCGAGTCCTCAGGCGCCAGCAGGGGGACGGCTCACGAGCAGGTGAGCTGCAGGGTTGTAGGCGTGCCCGCTGCACCTTGACCAAGGGTTCCAGGATTGGCCACCAGAGCGCCGTTCCCCGCCTGCTGCGTCCTGGCGGCCCAGGAGGGCTCTCCGCCCCCCTCCCCCTTGCCGGTGCTGGAGTCTCGTGCGATGTTCTCCCTGTAACGACGGTGGGGAAGTCTCTGGAAGATATTGGGGTTACAGGAGGAGGCTGGTGGTAACGATGCCGGGGTGCTGAGACCAGCATGGCCTGTGAGGGCTGAAGAGGTGCCTGGTGCTTTTATGACACTGGGGGGGTGAGGGCAGTTCACTCCGGGAGCCGCCTCCCTGTCATTGGCCGATAGGGACCGAAGCCCTTCGTGGTGGCAGTTTCTGCTAGGTGCTTTCTGACACTGTCCCAGTCGGGGAGGAAGAGTTCAGGGCTGGCCCGGAGGTGCAGAGGAGGGAACCGACAGGTGGACCTGGCGCTCGAGCATTTTCGAAGGTCTTCACGTTTAGTGCTAGAAAAGCAACCTCAGGAAGCGGATGGTGAAGCCATGTTTATTTTAATACAGCGACAGAAATGGCGCACGCTCATGAAAACGTTGGGAACAGTGTATGGGGCGCCTGGGTGGCTCCGTCGGCTAAGCGTCCGACTTCAGCTCGGGTCACGATCTCGCGGTCCGTGAGTTCGAGCCCCGCGTGGGGCTCTGTGCTGCCGGCTCGGGGCCTGGAGCCTGTTCCGGATTCTGTGTCTCCCCCTCTCTCTGCCCTTCCCCTGCTTGCCCTCCGTCTCTCTCTTTTTAAAAAAAAAAAAAGGTTGAAAAAATATAGACACCTGTCCTCTTGTCCCCTGCACGTAGCCCTCTTCCTCTGCTCCCCCCGGGAAGGGGCCGCTGCCCCCCGCCCCCAGTGAACTCCCTGAAGGGTCTTACGCACTGCAGACAGTTGGCAGAGCACATACAGGATCTTGTTTCGTCTTACGAGTTTCTTCAGAGCTTTTGACTTGCACGTGTTCGTGGCCAGATGAGGAAATGGAAGTCTGTCATTGCCTTGTCAAGGCTACGGGTGGTGCTGTCCTCGGGCCAGCTGGCCGGCCAGTCGGGTGTCAGGCCCCCAGACCCCCCCAGACCAGTGGGGGGGGGCGCCCTGTTGGCATCTGCCTGGCCCCTGGGAGGTTGGGTGTAGGAAACCCCCCAGTTCGAGGGTCCTGCGCTCCGCCTTCCCCATTCATGGACGGACGGACGGACGGGCGGACGAGCCTTCTGGCTGACCACGGTGCGTTTGAAGTCACGAAGGCGGGTTCATCAGAGTCTCTGTTGTGCTGTGACCTTGGAGGGAGGTCTCTTGACACCTGTGTGCCAGGGGAGGTGGGAACACGCCAGAGCCTGTCTCCTCGCCTTCTGGGACCTCGAACCTTGTGTTCTTGGACCGCTGCATCGGGCAGGACGCTCACAGCAATGGGGTCCTCCTCCTCTTAGGATCTGCCTGCCCCCCAACATGTTCACACGTACCGAAGCCTCTGTCAGCTTCGCTACGTATCTTCTGTGCCCCGCGTGGTTCTTGAGAAGGAAGAAGCTGTGACGGCACTTGGGACCCACCAACAAAGGTTAGAAAGAAATACAGACGTGTGGTTTCGCGGGTGTCACCCTCCCCTTCCTGAGCTCGCCCTGTGTGATCGGCCTGTATCTTTCCCATCTCCCCGACCCAGCCCTGATGAGGGACATGTGGGATGGCCCCTGAGTTAATGACAAGGACACGTCCAGGCTGGACCAAGCGGGTCGAGCGTGTAGTCACATCTCTGGTCGTCTAGATGCGAATGGGGACTCTGATCTCCTTTTGTGAGCACCTTCCCGACTCGTGTTTGGCCCTGAGTGTCTGCGGGCCACCAAGGAACCAAGGAGCACCCGCTCTCAGGGTGCCCGGTGCTGGACTTTTTCCTGCAACCCCTGGAGACCCCCGGGCGCCAAACTAATCGCCTTGGCAGATGTCTTGCTCATCAGCAAATGCCCCACTGCCATGTCCTACGCTGAAAGTGAGGTCTCGCTCAGCTTAGGGAGGTGTGAGTCGTCTTGCACAGCCCGTGATGGGTGCCGAACGCTCACCCTGGACGGCCTTGGCTCAGCAGGTGCGCCGCATGCCTGCAGCGCCCGGACGCCAGGGGTGTGGGCTTTTTCCAACCCGCAACAACCAACTGGGTGTTCGGTAGCTCGGTTCCATTCTGAGCCGAATTCCACACAGGGCCCCAGGGGAAGGGCGCAGCCCCACACGACTACCCCCCTTTAGATGCCAGTCTCCAGTCTGGGCCATAAAGTCGGGGATTCCCACTCCTCCTCGGGTTTGATCATTTGCTGCCACAACTCACGGCATTCGGGAAACCAGCTTACTTCCTAGTATTCACATCACGGGGAAAGAACAGCCAGAGGGGACAGATGCACAGGGCAAGGGCTGGGGCAAGGGGCCCCTCTCTGGGCACACCACCCTCCTAGCACCCTGTCGTGTGGGCGGACCCAGAGCTCTCCAAATCCCACCGTTTGGAGTTTTTCTGCAGGTTTCATTACTCAGGCGGGATTGAGTAAATCACTAGCAAATCACGATTGAACTCCCTGGAGGCCAGGAGTGGGGCCGAAGGTTCCAACCCCCTGATCGTGGCTGGCATTGCTGGTAACCAGCCCCCGTCCCGCAGCGACGCATGGACCTCCCGCCATCAGTCATCTCCATGGCACACACAAAACACCGTCATCGTTTGGGAGACTGCAGTGGTTTTGGGAGCCGGGAGCCGGGGACAAAGACCAGACGTTTATCCCAAGCACCAAGCCCTGCGGGGGTTTTGAGTGGTGGAGTTTCCTGCAGGAATTCTGTCCTTGCAGGGAGCCTGTGCTCGCCTGGCGGGACATCTTTCTGTCACATCCCTGTCGCTGTGGCTCCCTGTGTGCGGTCTCGGGTGGCCCCGGCGGGAGGCAGGACCCAGGCGTTCCCCGTGGGGCCCTCTGCACCAAAGGCATCACCTTTGAACTTTTCTCCCGGGACTCTCTCTGCCTTCTCTTCCAGTCCCAACACGCACTGAATATATTTATTTCTCCCAGACTGTAATTACCCTCTTACACAAGAGCGACGAGTTTCTACCTACGTTCTCTTTCTGCACACATCCTGGGAGAGTTTTGCTGCAGAACGTTTGACCCAGAAAAGGAGAGCCTTTGTTTCTCCAGCGCACGTGGCCCGAGAGCGAGTTCTTCCCCCGCGAGACGTCCCAATAGCCCTTTCACGGCGTGTCCGTGGATTTAGAAATGCCGCGCCGGGTTCCATGGAGGTAAGAGGTCTGCGAGGGCCATGTGGCCACTCCTCCAGTATGAGTCAGGCTTTGAGAGTCGTGCCGTGACAAGTACCCAGTGACGGAGCCATGCATTTCCTGTCGGGAGCGTGGCGTATCTCTTTGGACACAACCGCTCGGAAGGCTTGCGGGTGAGAACAAGGGTCACGCTTGGTGCTGGAAGCCGTCTTCGGAGGCTGTGAGCCACGTGGGCTTTCTTGGTGTGAGGCCAGGTGTCCTGTGGAAAGCCTTACTTATCCCGGTCTGCAGCGCCATCCGTAAATAAATAGAGGCTTCTTATGGTATATAAATAAATAGAAGCTTCTAATGGTATAATGATCATCTGTAGGTTACAGTTTAGAATCGACGTAATAACCCACCCAGCGTGGAGGAAAGCCCAGCTCAGAAGCCCGGGAGACACCAGCTGGATCTGGGCTCGTTTGGGTGCTTCCTTCTCGTTCTGAGCCGTAGGCAGGTAGGGTCGGCGAAGGACGCGTCCTTCCCCGGCAGGGTTGTGGGACGAGCGAGGGCCAGCCTGTGCCCTGGCCCCCGATGCTATCGGGGCCACGGGCCTGGCCTCTCCGCGTTCACCATACTTCTCTGCCGGAACAAGAATCACGCCCGTTGTCCAGAGGAGGAAACCGAGGCACAGAGAGGCTCAATCACTTGGCCAACTTGACTCTGAGCTACGAAGTGGTAGAGGCTAGAGTTGAAGCCCAGTCGGCCTCCAGAAGCAGGCTGAAGCACGGCGCGCCATCGTCCCTGCTGGGACTGCACGTTCTTGCTGTTCTTTCCCGCCTGCTCCTGCCCCCACCCGGCCGCGAAAGAGACGGTGGCGAAGGGGGGGGGCGAGAGGGAAGGGCAAGAACTCACCTCTGCTTCTGGAAAACAGAACAGACAGAACTGAGACAACTGCGCGGACTCTCCCCCAGAATCTTGTTCCGCGTCGCATGTCGGGGAACCCACAGCCGGCCCGGGGTGTGTGTCGTGCACTGTGCGTGCCCGTGCTTTCTACCTGAGGCTGTCACCGGCGTGTGTACTGAGACCTACTCTGAGAGCA